GGGGGAGGCAGCAGGCGAAGCGGCTCCGTCCGCGGCCCGCGGCGTTGGCGCTCGCGCTCTCGCGCCAGCGCGGGGAGCGCGTGCTGCGCTTAGGTAGACGCAGCTGGAAGCGTTGCGCCGGGCCGGCTCCTACTCCTGCAGCGCGCGGCGGGGGCGGGAGAGCGATCAGGCGCTCACACACTGGGTGACGAGGGTCTTGAAGGCTCGTAGTCGTGGGGTTCGAGCGAGGGTAGCCTCGGGCTCCCTCTGCAGCTCTTCGGCTTCCCTCCGGGAGCCGCGGAAGGAGATGAGCTGTGCGGAGAGGCGTGGGTAGCGTGTCACTCATGGAGAAGCTGGGGGAGCAGGTAGATAATAAGCTTCTCTCTGACGATGGCACTTAAACCCCTGACAGTGATTGGGAGAAGGGGCGTCACTGCTGGAGGGTAGAGAGAACCAGGAAGTCAGGAAACCCCAAGATGATTCAGAGGTGTGAGTGGTTAGGAAGAACGGTCTCTTTAATGGCATTACTTATTAATTAAGCCATTTTGCATTTGTCTCCATTTCTTACAAACGAGTCTTTCTACGTCTATTAAAATTTCTTCCTCCGTAGCAATTAAACATCTTTTTACTTCCTTAAATGACTTTGCATCTCTTCCCCCACTACCCCCGTAACTGACCAAGATTGTAAAAAATGCTGAGGTTATCTTTAAATTCCGAAATCAGACTTCCTTTCTGCCTCTGAAAAAAAGAGATTGGTATAAATTAATCGCATGACTTAATTTAAAGAAAAAGACATTGCACAATATAATTATTATTATTTCACATTATATTTCCCTAGCCATGTGCTTGCAGCAGTTGGGTGAAAGGTTAAAAGAGGAGGACAATGAAGTTAGGAGGTTGGTTATAATGTATTCATTGCTGATGTAGGTTTCCCGCAAGACCCTTGAAAGCAAGGCAAGTTGTTCTTTGATAGCTTCAGGATTCAACAAGAAAAAGACATGCATCTAACACACCTCGTTGATCTTTACAATGGCATCTTTCTTCTCCCCGTTTTCACGTGTACTCTGATGGTGGCGTTGTTCATTTTTGATATTCTTTGATTGCAATCCGCAAAGCAAGCTTTGGTACTTTGTAGAGGGGCCAGTAAAGCTCTGGTTGACCTTCCTGAATAAGAAAGATGAGAAAGATGGTATAGATGAGAAAATACAAAAATAGGAATGTAAAGGGGAACTAATGACTAGATGATTCTGGAAATGTGATTAAGTCTGATGTGTAAAATGATTTGTTAGCCCAATTGACTGAGGCATTGGCGATAAAGACATGATCATAGATTTGATCCTTGGGTGGACCACTTAGCTTTGAATGAGCATGGAACACAAGTTCCCCATCTTTTTTCATCATTTGGAACTAGCTCAAAGCACACAAGTGAGTGGGCTGAGCCTATGTAAGAAGGGGTTCTCATGGTGGCTACTCAAGTCACTTAAATTCTTCAATTTCCTACACATGTTTCCGGCCTGGCTGTCTCCCAGGGTTATGGAGAGGATGGGATGCAATAAGATATTTCAAAGCATGTCAGAAATGACAAAGCACTCCATAAATGTATTATATAGTTTATCAAGACATATCCATGTCCTATGCTCTAAAAGCTAGAATGCAAAGAATATTCCCCACGTTGAACAACAGTGATATTTTCAGGTGAGAAGGAAAACAATATTATATAATCTTAAATTGTTCAATGACATTTTACGATACAGCTTTATCTCATAATTGTAAAGTGCTGAATTAGGTAAAAATTAAAAGGAGCATTGTCTTCAGTCCCAAAAGCAAATTCTGATTATAAATTGCTCAAGGGTAAGACTTTTGCCTTAGGATGAGCTATTAGTAATCAAAATATTTTAATTCTTATGTAGAATAGTAAAAAAGAATGAAAAAGCTATTTATACTTATAATTAAGTTCAAAACTTGGAGTCTCCATTGATTCCTTTCATTTTCTCACACATGACAATCTGTCGAGAAATCCTCTTGGCTCTACCTTCAAAATATATCCAGAATCCTTCAACTTCTAACCACCTTCACAGATACCATGTTGAAACAAGCCACCATCATCTTTTTATCTGGGTACAGCAGTAGCTTCCAAACTGGTCTTTCAGCTTCTTCACTTTTTCTCTACAGGCTAATATTCAACACAGCAGCCAGAGTGTTTTTAAGAAGTTAGCTTAACTCAAAATCCTCCAGTAACTTGCCATGTCTCTCAGAGTCGAAGCCCAAGTCTTTACCATTACTCTACAGAATCTGTCCCCACTCCAGTACCTTTCTGACCTCATTTCCTAGTTATCATCCTCTTTGCTCATTCTACTCCAGCCACCAGGACTCCCTTGCTATTTCTTAAAACAAGCCTGACACGCTCCAACACAGTGGTCTTTGCATTAGCTGTTTCTTCTGCATGAAACGCTCTTTCTCAAGTAATCATTGTGCTAATAACTCCTCTCCTTCAAATCTTTGCTAAAATCTTACCTTCCTAATGAAGCCTTCCCAGACTAGCATATTTAATACCGTAAACTATTTTCCCTTCAATCTCAGTGCTCCTAATCCCTTTTATCCAGCCCTATTTCCCCCATTATCTCTTAATACAGTGCAATGTACTGTATAATGTACTCAGTGTTATGATTATTGTTTATTATCTGTGTCTTCCCTTCCCTTCCATTAGAATGTAGACTCCGCAAGGAAGGAATCGCTGTTTGTT